CCTCTCCAGTAAGCCGCATATCGAGGAACTTTGTGGAGAAAATTAAAGTCAACACCTTGACATTGAGAGAGGAGACAGTGTGCCAATTGACTCTGTTCTCAAGGTTTGACTCCAAAGTGAAAATCGAAGGCACCTTTCGTGTGGATAATCGGATCACCACAAAGACGCCTGCCGAATCCCTGCCCGACGACTTCAAAAAGAATTTCCCACACCTCTTCTTGGCTGATCCGAAATTTTATCAGTCATCGGGTATAGACATTGTCATAGGCGTCGATATATATCCGAGAGTAATTACGGAGGGGGTGTATGTCAGAAATGGGTTACCAACTGGCCAAAGTACCGTTTTTGGATGGGCCATCTATGGGCTATGTTCCTAAATGTGTTAATTTTTTCATTTCACAATTTTTTCCTAATTTTTGTATTAATAAATTCCTGAATTCCTTAGAATTCACTATTGTCTTACTTTCCACAAAAAGCACAAACTTTCCTTTTCAGCTTGTACATTCCGAAGCAGGTGCGAGTTCGTGATTCCATCTGGTCTGGTGACAGAAACCTACCTATGTATTTGGTCATCATCTTTATAAAAATTATCCTAGAATTAAGTTAAATTCATTTTCATTCCCATTGCTTTGTAACCAGACCAGGACATACACGGATCTAATTGTTTATTTTCCATTTCAGACGCACTGCAAGGGGGCCGGTAATGTAAATACGAAATTCTTCGATCTGGCATCCCTAATTCTATTTCCTAAGTTTTGAGTCGATCCATAAGCTTTGCTTGTGTTTGTGTCGCTCAGTTACTCAAAATGTCCGTTTGTGTCCTATCTGCGGCTTTTTCAATTTTCCTTTTTCCTAATAAATTTACTTGTGAACCAACCTACAATCACAACTGTTGTTATTGGTAAGCGTCGTTCAAATTTTCCAATTTGAATAAATAAAGAACCATAATTGTTCTTTTTCCAAATCCAAAACTCATCCCATTGTTTTATTCCTTTCTTTCCATTTTTTCTCGATTCAAAACCGAGAGGAAAATATTTCTAACTTCAAGGAATATTTTTCTGTCCACCAACAGCAGCATAACAATCCAGCATTTTCCAGGAAAATACCCACAAATTTGGAATTTTCACAAATGGATCAATCAATATGTTGATCTGTTGTTAACAGTGTATCATATTAATAGACGCAACTCTTTTAAAACATGAAAATCAATTGGCAGCCACCTTTTCAATTACATTAGCAATTTTGAATTATTCGGATCCATTTGTAGTGATGTTTTATATAATGGAAAAGTTATTATAAGTCGCCTGATAACCAACAATTCTGTTCTGAAAATCCACGAACTCCGTTAATAACCGAAGTTAAATAAATTTGTCATACTATTCGCCTTTTAGTATAACGTCGGTGGCACCAATGTTTGATCTTATACTTTGTTTTTTGAGATAACGTTAAAAAAATCAAAACAAATAGAATGAATTTTGTTTCAAAAAGTCATTTTCTTTAAATGATATTACTATGCTGACATAAATTCACAAATAAACAAATACAAATTACAAACATATTGAATTATATAAGGTAATATTTGAGAAACAAGTGCAATTGCTAATGATCATACACATTACAAAGCTATAAAAATATACGTATAAACATTTATGATGATTATCAAAGGGAATAATTTGTTCTTCTTTATGTAGGTATTCATATAATTGTAATAATACTATTTGTACAGTATTTTGGCAAAAAGTTATCCTTAAGCAATAGAAATTTATTGTTTTGAAAAAACCCCGATTGCTTATTATTAAAAATATAGAGAAATCTCACTTAGTTGCAAATAATTTGTAGAAAATATTTACACGTTCGCTTCGGAAAAGGCATTTAAATGACGGACAGATAGAGGTCAATCAAGTTGGCTATTTATATATGTACTCAGCGTTCTCCTATTTGAAACTGCCCTTGAATGCCTACAACGAAGAATATAATTGTTTATTAAATAAACGAGTGCTGCCAAGCTCTAGATCGCTTCTTCCCCTTAACCCTATTCTCGACTCAGAGGGTTTAATGCGACTTAACGACGCTTAGTGAAATCACCTAATCTGTCTGTTGCTTGTCTTGCCTTTTGCCAGTCGCTTAACTCTCCGCCTATATACATTTGTTTTCAATTTATGGTGGAAATAAGTTAATGTGAAAATAATCATTCGTATTGAATATTGGGTTCCCTGATAAAAACCTTGATTCGAACGGTTATTCGAAAATGCAATACGTGTATTTTAGAAAAGAAACACTGCGGTCAACAGATCATGGCTGCATTGCGCAGTTGCGTTGTCTCCAGAATCTTTATTAACCGCATTTCACAAGTTTGTTTCACGTCGTAGTTGTCCTAATACTATATTCCCAGACAGTGGTACGGACTTTGATTCTCGAGCGTTAGAAAAAGATTCTAAGACAGTTGATAAAGAGATGAAAATTACTTCAAGTGAATATCAAGAAATCTCGTGGAATTTTATTCCGGCTGGCCCTCGGCTGTGAAAAGTTTCAAATTACATTTTCGCCGGTATGCGAAACAATTACGGTTCACATTTGAAGAGATTAGTACTGTACCAGCTCGAAGTGAGGCGTGTTTTAATTCTCGACCGATATGCCCAATATCGGAAAATTCAGAAGACGACAAGAGAGCACAAGAGGTGTTACGGCGGCCAGTAAATTAGTAATACTCCAGAACTAATTTATTCCCCCTGGTCGTCATACATATTGTGTTGTTTAGCTATAGAACCTGCAAGCCCCCCTCTTACCGGAAATAATCTTGTTGGACTTTGACTTCGCGGATACCGCAATGAGCGAATGGATATTTCCAGCATAAGCTCAGTGGCTCTGATGAACGTGGGTCAATCTGAAGCCCGATCGGAACCCAATCTCACGAAAGTAACTGAAACAGTCCACGAGACCTCTACTATGCAGCCTAAAGCTACCACTCCTCAGACAGAGCTTTGGTCAGGGCAGTATCGAGCACAGTGCCGAAGAGGTGTAATCTATGTACAGGCAGTTTTTCGAAGGATGTCAGTTGATGGGAGAATCCTATATGTCTGAGCGAATGGATACTGTCAAAATTGTCCTTTGACGGGACACATAGCAAACCAGTGTCGCAACTCCCAGCGCTGTTGTTATTGCCGTCGGAATCACCATTCCCTTCTGCATTCCGGCCTCCCTCGTCAAGACCATACAAAGCCAATAGAGCGCCAGCCGCTCATCTTACTTCAACGCAGTGGGTTGAGCTTGTATCTTCCCGTCGTCCGCCTATATTTCCGTCTGTTTCTCTCCATCTCTCCCAATCAGTCGTATATTAGTTGTTCGTCTGTAATTGTCTAACTCCAACGGTTAGAGCGTTGTTGGATTCTTGCTGTCGTGTTAGCCATGTACGCGAGAGCCTTGTGAAAAGTTTCCGGCTTCCGTTAACGTTTAAAACGACGAGGTTTACTGTGATTTGACACTTATGTCACGGTTTGATGATCAGCAAACCTAGCATATAACCCCACGTGATGCCAAAGTTGAGGGGGGAACTCCGGCTGTCTCGTTCAGCTCAGACCTCCGGGAGTCATTTATGGGACTGGAGTTAGCGGATCGCATATTCTACAATCCGGTGGAATCGCCTTATCTTCTGGCATTTATGCGAAGATTATCTCGAATCGAGTTTTTATTCAGCCTGGTTTACCGACGGCACAATATACTGTTTTTAGATGGGTTATTTCCGTATTTGTTTCAAATTTGTTATTTGGTGATCGAAATAGGTACCACTTCCTATAACATAAATTCCTATGAAGGTTAACATCTAAGTATATCCCCCATAAGTTGGTACATTCCGATATTCGGTATTAATAGGGCTTTTCGGGCAGACTGAAATAACAGGGCCACGTGTCGTATAGATTCTCCATATAACATATTTGCTACATTGTTTTTTTTTAAATTTTGCAAGTTTGTGGCAGGTATATAAAGTTTGTCCCAACCGTACTAGCTTTTTTTTGTGACACTATAGTTTTTGCGAAAAAATGATTGGTTCTTTTATAGATAATTTGACTAGTGTCCAGTATCGACAGTTTGTATGTTGGTTGGAGTTAATGACAAAATTTTTAATTGGATAATCCATTTTAATCTTGCCATTTTCTTTCAAGATTCAGATGAATCAATCAATATGTTGATCTGTTGTTAACAATGTATCATATTAATAGACACAACTCTTTTAAAACATGAAAATCAATTGGCAGCCACCTTTTAAATTATATTACCACTTTTGAATTATTCGGATCCATTTGTAGGGATGTTTTATATAATGAAAAAAAAAAATATATAAAAAAATAGTTGGCTATTTATATATGCCCTCAGCTTTCTCCTATTTGAAACTGCCCTCGAATAGCTACATTGAACTGATTAGTATAAAAACAACTTAAATCGTATTTATGACACAAGATATTTGAGCAAACTCCTAAATTGAGCAAGAGTCCTAAAATTGTTAAAAATGTCTAAATACAAATAGAGACCTGCTTGCTTATCGGTGGGTGTAAATCAAAAGCTCTAAAATCAACATTTCGATTCAAAAGACTAACACAATTTGCATTTTAATTAAATATAATTCAAACAAAACAATTTACTGTACTTAAAAATTTTTTGGTCGATATATTTGGGCAAATAAAATTGTCCAATACAATTGTGAGCAGTTATGTTTGAGTTTTAAAATTCATGTTAAATAATTTTTCTGCCAGAGAACACAAACGAAACGATTTTAAAGTAGTAATGAAGGACTACTTTAAAATCGTTTCGAGCCTCTGAGAACACAAAAGAAAAAAGATATTGAGAGTGAAAAAATTGTTTGCATTAAAAATAAAACTTTTGTAAATGTCCTACTTTTAAACGAGATGGTACTTTAAAATGCAAATATGTAAAAGCTAATATGAATTTTATATTTTTTTATTAAAATAATAATATCTGTAATATGATTTCAATTTTATAAACAGTTAATATAATGGTAAATTAGAAATATGCCGAATACGACAGATACCCGTACAACGACATCGCCAGGGGATGATTTGGGAAGCACCGATGAAGTGAAGATATTTAAGGATGAAGGTGATCGGGAAGATGAAACAGTGTCCTCTGAAAATTTGTTGGAAGAAAAATCTAGTTTAATCGACTTAACCGAAATTGCTGATAAATGTAGTGACATACAATCGAAATCTGCAAGTAGTCCAATCTTTAACAAAACAGAATCACGCACCCAAGACTTTAATATGACGTACCTCGTTCCCTATTCCTACTCCAATTCATCCGCCACTGGACTCCCTGTATCAGTGGCCAACAAACTGGGATTACGATGTTTTCTAAGTCAAACTGGAGAACACTTCACCTCTCCTCCCCCCGCTCACTGCGGCATTCAACCTTATCATTTAGATGCAAAAGCGATGGGGATAACCAGAACATCAATTTATCCACTTCCTTCTAGTCAATATCCATACACAATTTTAAGTCCAGAAATAACACAGGTTACAGCCTGGCGCACACCATCGGTTTATTCAGCGACTAACTTTCAAAGCACTTACCATACCTCATTGTCAAGCGAAATCTCTAACAATTTATCACTTCGATTTTCGTCGAATGTATTACCTCCAGTGCACACATCACCATATCATGTTATTGGCCCACAAACTGAAGTTGAGAGAGTAATTAATAACTACAATGAAAAGGATGTCACTACTACTAGTCACAATAACATGGAATATAAAAACAAAAAACATCAACATATTCAGAAGCGACCTCAAGACGTTCCAAGCGATAAAAAGAAACCACATATAAAAAAACCATTAAATGCCTTTATGCTCTATATGAAAGAAATGAGAGCAAAAGTTGTAGCAGAGTGTACATTGAAGGAGTCAGCAGCAATAAATCAAATACTGGGGCGACGTTGGCATGAATTATCACGTGAAGAGCAAGCTAAATATTACGAAAAGGCACGACATGAACGACAGTTACATATGGAACTTTATCCAGGATGGAGTGCGAGGGATAACTATGGATACGTATCCAAGAAAAAGAAACGAAAAAGGAATAATAACTCTATAGAATCTTCTAAAAGCATTAAAAAAAGTTAAATTTTAATTCACATTTACACCCTATCCTTTTTTAAGCCTGCAAAGATATATATATATATATATATATATATATATATATATATATATATATATGTATATATAAATATATATATATATATATATATATATATATATATATATATATATATATATATATATATATATATATATATATATATATATATATATATGTATATATATATATCGTTGCAGCCTAACAAACGGATACGGATGTTTGAATATACGTGCAAAATGAATAATATACATTTAATTCTAAAATAAATAAATGGCATAACACATTTTAGAACCAATGTATTTTTTTATCACTTTTTTCAAATATTTCAAATAAAGTAAACAACATAATTATGCTATTGTTTCATTTTTTAATTATGCTGTTTTATTTTTATTTAAAGTAATGCTATAAATGGATTCCTGGAAAAAAGATAATAAGGGAAATGTGTTACTGTTATATAATTAAAATAACATAAATTATGATAGATATTATAATTAATTTTGGCTAATTACATTGTATAAGTACATATACGCAACTATTGTTTTTAACACAAAAGGTAAGTGAGGTACGACTCCGATGTCTATTTTATAGAATCTACTTTGTAGTCGTGGTATATTCGAGTTGGATATTGCCGTAAAACTTGTCCCTACATTTTCATGTATAAGTAGGAGAGAAACCTCGATTACAAAAAAGTTAATTAAACGTTGTCAATCGGTATTATATGTTCATGCTAGCTTATGACACCGTTTCCGTGGTGTGAGTTTTAAATTATACCGATGATCGGTGTGCGACAGCATTTTCGTGTCTGGCCCGTTTATCGACCAGTGTCATTGACGTTATTTTCTAATACTGTGAAATAAATACAATGTTGTCCGTCCTTGAATATAATGACATAATTATAAGCAAATTATAAGAACACTTTGTTCCCACCTAGAATATCTTTGAGTGTATAAATCATGCTCAATCAATATTAATTTGATGGATTGTTTCTGTGTGTATAGTATTGAGGAGTCAAGATACGAAATCGATTGATCAGCTTAGGTTTTTGGAAGCATATGCGTGTGAGTGGATTTATGTATGTTTATAATAGTGAAATTTTGCAAAGACTTTATGTTGGGTTCGTTTGCTTTGCGTTGGATCCACAGCAACAACTGTTGCTTTTAAATTAGACGACAAATTTCTTCGAAATATAAACCTGTGCTTGTTCCTTTGTTGTTAATATTTTAATGAGATGAAGTGTTTGGGTGTAGTCATTGATTGATAGATGATGCCAACTTTTGTCTGGAGGAAAATTCTCTAACAAAAGTGTTTGGATTGCGTCTTATTGAATATCGAATTATGAAGAATGGATTTCTCCCTTTTATGATAAGTTAGTGTTTTGTGTATCATCTCGTCAATCTTGAATTGTTTTTTTTTTTTTTTTCAAAAAATTTCGTTTCAGTTGATTAGAAGTCGTTTATTGTATGGGTTGTGAGATTGTAAAATTTTTAGTTATCTTATGGGTTTATGGTTGTTATAAGTTTTATTTATTTTTTTTAAGGTATTTATTACTTTCTAAGCTTGTAGTCGATATATTCTTTTTATTGATTTCAAGTGATGTATTAGCGGGGTCATGCTTGCTGTTGTTCATGTAGAGGCAGGTTTCAATCTGTTTTGAGTTTCCAGTTATTTGCTCTTGTTAATCTTTGTTGTACGGAATATTTTTATGTTGTCCATAAAAAATTGGCCACATTTAATTGTGTTCACTAGGAGAAAATATCTTCAAAACATAATAAAAAGAGATAAAAAGAACAAATATCAACGCTATTTTTAATTATTAATGGTTAATAATAATAGTAGATTATTAATGGTTAATAATAATAGTAGAGAATGACAGAGAATTTTACTTTTTTCTTATCCTTGGATTAATTTTGTATTTTTCGGCTATTTTGGCTACATAGCCTGCTGGAGCACATGAGGAAAATATTAAATATTATTCATAAATATCAATTAACAACATGTGATAAGCTACACCCCTATAATTTGTGTTATCACACAAGAAATAATGGCTGTTTAAATTTCGACATATTATCAAATATCAACCAAAAGGGTATGTTTGGTCGATTGGCTCATAGTCGTGCAAAAACCACGAAGGAAGATATACTATTAGGAATTGAGTTCAAACTTGTTTCAATATAAAAATCCTAATAAAGGCAAAAGACTCAGCATTTGTACTCAACAAAAAATGGTTTAAGTCGATCTAACTTAATTTTAACACATCGGCAACATAAATACGAAAATAGTGAATCGAAATTCTGGGATAAGCTGCATAAAGTCAATGAAGAAAATTGTCATAGGAAACCGAATCGGACAAATAAATACACCTTAAACACCTTTAAACTTATGATTTTATAAAAAAAACAGAATTTTCAACAAACACTTTTGGTTGTTGTTTTGCATTGTTGACATCACCATTTTTTCACAATAGAAAGAAAACAAATAAAAACAACGGATGTATGTGGATTTTAAATAAATGCATTTTCTGTTTGTTTTTTGATCGTTCCCTTCGCGCCTCACTTTCGCGCCCCTGCCGACCGAGAGAGCCATAGTCCGGATTATAGGGGGTTAGTAGACTTGGGAAACCGGCTACATTAGAGCATCAGCCAATTAAAAAGAATTAAAGTATATAAACTAAACTACAGTAAAACTAAACAATACAAATACTAAATCACAGAAACAAAGTCTGGCAATTTTTTTTACAAACTAAGAACGTATGATAGAGTTTTTTATGACATGCAAGGGTTCACACAAAGAAATCGTGTTATATAATTTATTATAATCAGTACATAAACTCCGGAGAGGATTATTTAATTCAATTTTGCTAATGTTAGTTAGTTAAGTGGAATGTAATAACATGTATTTCGCGAGGGGACATTGAATTTAATTTCACCAGTTAAAAACTCAGAATCAATTTGACCACGCAAAACTTTGATGATAAAAATACATATAAGCATTAATCGCCTTTTCTCTAGTGTAGGAAGATCGATAAGTTTATGCCGATTCTCATAAGGTGGGAGAAGTTCATTTGAATTCCATCCTAAACCTCTCAGAGCAAACAAGAGAAAATAGGTCGAACAAGGCTAATAAATAAGCGTTTGGTCATATAAGGATCGTCGAATTCCTTTGACCAACGTTTTTTAAATCCTAGTAAATACTTTGCTTTATTAACTCAAGACTCTATACGCAAATTAAAACGTAATTCATTGTCTAATATGACACCAAGATCAAGAAACGAGTGAACATTATCCAATTTGTAAGAATCTATGAAATAGTAGTAGTTAATTTGCTGAGATCTATACAAGGACAATTTTTTACTTAATTAATTTTTTTTTTTAATTAAATGACATTCCATTGACACTACACAAATTTGCAAGAGAATACAAGTTCTGTTGCAGATTAAGTGAATGGTTGTGAGAATTAAGAGTGCAGAAAAGTTTAACATCGTCAGCAAACATTAATATTTTGGAGTAGCGAATAATAGATGGAAGGTCATGTAAATAAAGTACAAAAGTAGTGGATTTAAATGGCTACCCTGAGGAACACCAGAAAATACTGTAATATTTTTAGAGAGAGTATTAATAAAAGAAACCTTTTGGGTACAGTCATGCAAATAAGACGATATCCATTTTAGGAGAATTGTAGAGAAACCCATTAAGTCAAGTTTATATATTAACAAATTATGCACCACCGTATCGAAAGCTTTACTGAAATCAGTATATATAATATCAGTATGGAGATTTTTTGAGAATCCAGTGTGAACATTAGAGATTAGTTCTAATAAATTTGTCAAAGTTGATCTTCCTTTTACAAATCCATGCTGGTGTATTGATACTATAGATGTAACGAAATGAGTTATTCGTTGTGTAAACAAACGCTCAAAAAGTTTGGGAATTGCACTTAGTTTTGCAATGCCCCTATAATTTTCAATAACACATCTACTGTCAGCTTTATGCAATGAAGTAATAAAGTTAGAACGCCAAATAAAAGGAAAATACCCTAGGGTTAACGAAGTATAGATATAGTTCATGTGCACATGCTTTTAAAATGAAAGTCGGTACACCATCTGGACCCGGTGAATTGGAAATTTCAATGAAAGTAAACCATTCAACACATCATCTAATGTGATAGTAATACGAGGAAACTGATTAAGTTTCTTAATACTATAAGAGTATTTTACTCCCTTAAAATCTGCAAACATGTTTGCTATTCCCTTAGGTTCACGTGATTCTCTACTACCGAATCGCATACTACTCTGAAATTCACGGACTTTTCTTTTTGAATAACCGAATTTATAAAAGTTCTTAGGATTATTGCAGAGGCTGTTTCTCATCTTGACTAGGTATTCAGAATTTGCAGTGTTGTATAAATTTCCAGCTTTTGTATAATTAGTAAAGTTTATGGTAGAATTGATATTTTTAAATAGCCTGCTTTTTATGTTACGTAAGCGCCTAAGTTGTGGGGTAAACCAAACTGAACCCATATCACAGCACATTTTCACAAGTGGGACTGAGGTTTCTAATGCATTGTTAATTACTTTATAAAAGCATGAAATACGAAAATCCAAATTATCTTCAAAACAATTATCTTCTACAGCAGATCAACGTTAGTCTTGCAAAGTTTAACTTATGCGACTTATTTTGAGATGAAGTATGTACTGTTTGAATGTTATTAAGTTCAATGGCTACCATAAGAGAAGGATGATACATATCGTCTGGCTCTGAGAAAGGAGGGCTTCTGCACACAGAAGAAGTTGTGGATAAAGAAACAATTAAATCTAATATTTTCACTTTCGCGTTATAGATAGAATTTATTTGATAAAGACATTGATCAAATATGATTTCCCAAAAAGATGACATCTCAGTAGAAAGTTCTGTAGAGGATACTGGTACATAATCTACAATATTTTCTCCTGGGACCCATGCTAGATTAGGCAGATTGAAATCCCCCAGACAAATCATTTCCGCGTTGGAGGAATGATATAATGAAACCTCTTTTATTAAGGCTAAATGCATAAGATATTGGAC